TCTCTCTCCATACTACTTGATTCACTGTTCAGCGTGTTTCATTTTCTTTATAAGTGTCCCTGTTTCTGATCTGTATTTCATAGCCAAATTTCTACATGGATAGGTTTATCATTACTTTATATGGAGCTATTTTTATGCAATAAGAGTGTCATCAGCAAAGCTTGATTGGTTAATACTCCCTCTATTTATATGTATGCCTCTGTATAACCAATCCAGTTGTTGGCGATACAATTATTCCATATTGATGTTTTGTTTTTGTTATTGCTGTGCTCATGCAACACGGATCTCCCTTGTAAAATAGCCAGAGAACTGGCAAAACAGGGGTCATCTATGTGTAGTGAGCGGCTTCCGAGACACGTCGTTATTTATTATGAACACACTGGGCGATACATTTATGTAACGCAGCTACACATAGCCCACCCTATCACACAACCCCATCGTCGGCATCCAATTACGCAGCTGTCCAACTAGCACAGCGACGGCGACGATGAGAGCCTTGCAGAAGATTGGCGACGTGGTCGGACGACGAAGAGAGATGATGGCTAGCAGCGAAGCAGCCAGCAGCCAGGACCCAGGACCCGCAACAGCACCGAACCTCTGGTGCCTCTGGTTCGGTCCCCCTTATATACGCCCCAGCGCGGCCAAGCCCCGCCTCCGACCAAGCCCCCTTCCAGAACCTTCGAGCAGGTTCCCAGAGCTTCGTCTGACTGCCTTTTCATCTTTACCCCAGATACGCCCCCCTCATAATTAGGCATTACGTAATATACCCCTAACCGCGATTATCCCTTCAGGCCAACAGGTGCAACAGACCGAAATAAACTTAAACTTCTGTCATTATATTCGGATAATGAGGAGGAAGCCATACTCGTTGGTTCTTTCGGTAAAGTCACGTAGGTATAAAATTAAATAAATCACGACGTTTCGGGCACAACACAAGCGTCCGTCATCAGGTGGGACGTTTGTGTTGCGCCCGAAACGTCGTGATTTATTTTATTTTCTACCTACGTGACTTTATCGAAAGAACCAAAGAGTATGGATTCCTGCAGTCAGGAAAGCTTCAAATCAAGATTAATGAGGTGGAAGTTCCAGATGTCACGCTATGAGAAGTAAACACTGCCCTTCACAATTTGAAGTAAGTGAAAGCCTTTGTTGGCTCTGAAGAGGCATTGACTGAGTGGATCTCGAATATGATTAATAGTCGTACGTGACAGTTTCGTTCGCCGAGTACGCATAGTCTGGCGGAAGCTGTCATAATGATCTCATTCCGTACGGCATGTGCCACCGCAACGGGCACATCGAGAGTGCACCGGCCTATCCGTAACGGCCATTTACGTTTCGCGAGCGAACAAAAAGGAGCACCGAATTAGAAGGTGGCGTGGTGACGGCTCCACCCGGCACGCAGAGCGCAGTCGCACGCGCGTGTGGAGTGGTCGTCAGTAGTTGTGGACGAGGGCAGGCTTTTGATATCATTTAATCTAATTTCAGACCCATTATCCCTCAAGCCACTGACAATCAATGTCAGTGGCTTGAAGGGACGAGGGTGTGTCGGGGGGGTGGGTAATAGGGGAGCAGTTTCTGAACCGATTGAGGCGGGGGGGGGGGATGCCTTGGCATTGTGAACACCCCTTAGGGAAGCAGCGACTGTTTGAGGGGTGAGTGGGATCTCAGATGTAACATCACTGAATCATGAGATATTATTTACTTAGCCCCGGGAAAGGTCCAGTTGACACGTTTTGGGGCTACATCACTCGAGGTGTTCTCGCTTTTGTTTCGCATTTTCACAAATAGTTCTGCATTTTGATTTTAAACGTCGTGGTTCGCCGCATGTCAGATCTGTTGAGCCAGAAATGCAAAAAAACAGGAAAACAACAATTTCCTACAGTAAAAACAAATTGCTCACCATTCATTTACCATTGTGGCTATCGGCAAACCTCTTAGTCGAAAATTCTGCGAAAAACTCGTGAATTTATTAAGCTGTACGATGTTGTATGAGTCATCATCCCTGCGTGCTTTGGAAATTGATGTAAAAATTACTCAGGTTAATTAGAACTAGACGGCTTTGCAAAACCAGCTGAGGGCACTGTTGCAACATGAATTAACATTTAAAAAATATAAACTGTTGTTTCATATTTTTTCTATTCTTGGTATTACAGTATCACTTAAACGGTAAGTACACCAAACACAAGTCAATTTGCGCTGTCTCAAAAGTTACAGTGTTTGTTTGAGCACAACGGGAATTTATGTTTGCTTTGCACAAATTCGATAACAAATGGGTGACCTGTTTGAATGTATGAGTCAATATCCGAGTGTTTGGTCCCAACGTTATAGACGGACCTTTGGAAGGGCCTGTGGGACAGGCGGGCAGCACGGTGACCAATATGGATGACCGAGCACTGTGCCGCTGTGGCTTCTCAAGCTCGTCTGGCCTCGCTCACTGCGGCGCAGTCACTGACGAAGAGAGCGTGAGACGTACAGGGTGCGCCACGTGTCTTGTGACCCCACCCCCCCCATTTAATGTCATTTGTAGTTCAGTGTTAATGTGGCCATCGTATTGAGTTGTGGTCTGGGACTGTTTTAATGTTGTTTTGCCACCCTGCCCAACCTTGATAAATCGGACTTATACAATTTATTTACGTATTATATATTTATACAAGCTGGCCCATAAGTCTGGAATTATATGGAAAAATAAATAATTATTTTCTTTTTGTTTCTGCAGGCCTAAGATGTATCTGAGTAAGGAAGAACGAGGCCAGATCATTCTACTCGTCGGAGTCAGAGGGAAGTCGCCCTTGAATTTAACAGACTGCATCCAGACCGCAAGCCAATAATACAGAGCTGTGTTTTCCGTATGATTCCAAACTCATGGGACACCCTGTATTTTGTGACTTGCTTACCTTTTTCTCTATTTTGCCCTCCTATCGTTGTTGTTGATGTTGTTGCATTGTTTGTCGTTGTAACTTGCTGCGCGACCCATAGTGGACATCTGTGGAAAAGATCCTCGTGGCTAATCGGATTCCTTCTGCAGTCTAAATACAGCTTCTGATCATTCTCTCAAACTTAATATTGTTTAAGGGAGGTTTATTTTCAACAAATTAGCATGCGAAGGATCTATTTTTAGGGGTAAATTATTTGGGGGTCACGAGACATCTGGACCACCCTGTAGACATGAGTGAAGCATGATTGTGAAATATGATAGCATTGTGTGGTGGTGCCAAAGCGCTTCAGCCGTACACTATGCCATGACTGCCTGCGCACAATCAAATATAACCTTTATTTTGCCATTGTTTAGGATGTTTTAATTGTAGTTAGCCTCATACAAAATCCTAAATGTTATTTATTTTGTGTACATTCATGTTGCTTAGTCATCATCATCATCGGCCTTGGGTAATCCACTAATGGAGGAAGGCCTATGCAAGCCACCGCCGTCTCTTCAGATCCTGCCAGTTACTAGTTCACCCAGCACCTGCACGCAAATTGATTTCGTCACTCCGTCTCTGCGTTGGACATCCTCTGAGACACGTTCCATTGCTTGGCTGCCACTCCATCGTTATTCTTCTCCGTCGACCATCATCGTCCCTTCCAGCAACATGTCCTGCCCTAGCCAACTTATTTTTTTATCACCCTCACACGGCCCCTCGTTCACACGGCCTTCTGAGAGTGCATACTTTCAGCCGTCCTCAGGTGAAGAACAGGGCTGTCGGAAAGACAGCCCTGTTCTTCACCTGAGGACGGCTTCTTGCGTTGTGGCCGAAACGTCGTGAGAATTGTATTTTATTGTGTTTTATTTTATTATTTTATTATTTCCCTTCTACGTGACTTTACCGAAAGAATCAAGAAGATGAATCCCTGCAGTCACGAAAGCTTTAAATCAAGATGCAAATACTTCTTCAGAGTTACGTTTATAACATCTCAATTATCATTCATCTGCATGTTTTATAACCCATGTGTTCCTCATTCCGTCTCATTGTAATTCCCAGCATGCACCTTTACACGCTTTATCGTCCACTTGTCAGTTGTTTGTCCATTTGTTATTGACCGTGTTTTGAAACCAATGTCATAGCTGATATAAAAAAACGAATTCAGAACAGTTTTCACGAGAGGTGGTGACATCTACTATAGATGCCACTAAAAATCACACTGCCCTCCATTTTAACCTGTCAACTTCTAGATCTATGGACGCACATCGAGCCATCTGCAGCTCCAGACAGGCCCAAAGTCTTGTCAAGCACATTAAGTGTTAAATATTTCGATTTCCTACAGATGTTAATGATACAAATGTTCATATTCTTTGGGTCTTTCGGTAAAGTCACGTAGATAGGTTCGAAGAAAATAACAAAAAACCACGGCGTTTCGATCGAAACGTCGTAGTTTTTCGTCATTTTTTGTTATACGTGACTTTACCGAAAGACCCAAAGGATATTAATTCCTGCAGTCACGAAAGTTTTAAGTCAAGATTTGATACAGATGTTCACGATGAATATGTATGTGTCCATTATGTTTGCCTGCATGTCATTTATGCTGCAAAAAATATGGAATGATTTATCCTTTTGCTCATTGTATTTCTGAATTCCTCCTCGCATTAAGATACTGAGCTCTTCGCTCATGTTTAGGCTTTTGGGGACCTTCCCCGACTGGCCGTGTCCTCTCCGCGTGCATCGTGTGCACGTTGCAGGCCAGGGAGTCGAACCGATTGAGTTTCGGCCACAGTTTGGGTCAAAGCAAAATCTCGGAAGGTTCAGTTGGGGTTATCTTATTGTTGAAAGTCAGTTTAAACTCCTTCAAATTTTAATATTAACTCAAAAGCTATATGGTAAAAGCCTTAATGTGCAATCTACATTGTAGGTTACACTGCCGGCTACACAGGGTGTGTGTCTATTTTTAATATTAATTTATATTTTGCTAAGTTTGATCTAATACGCTTTGTTTATTGTGAAGCAGGGAGAGTGATCAATGTGTTTACCTTGTTCCTCTGATGGCGTTTCCCGCTCCGTGTTTGCAAGATGCGGTGAGACGGAGCTGCGGAGAGACCGTGCGTGCGTGCAGACACAAGCGCAGATGCAAAGAGACAAGGTGGAGGCACAGCCAATTTCCTTTGAATTAAATGAATGAATCCTTCGATTTTTATTTTCCCGATAAACTTGCTGATCGGACGAAATCAATATTCTCTCCATGTTGGCATTTAAATGTAATGCTAAGGGATGCACTACAGCATCACATGAAGGATTCAAGTATATGTGATACACACTGTGCAATGTGTGTTGCTTTGTTTCTCGTGCTTGTATGCATTATTGCAAGTGCTCAGGTACGGTACGTTCAATAATACTTCATTTGAGCCAGACCAGCGTAAGTGGGTGGCACAGAAGGGAGGGTTACCCATGAATAATAGGCATGTCATCGGAAGGATTATAATTTGTGCAGGTGCTGTTAGGTAACAGCACCGTAGCATAACACTTACGTAACTTGTTTGTTATTCCTCATGGTTAAATGAGATTGATAATACAAAACAAACACCATTACATATTTTTCACCAAATTAAAACCGAAGTCATTGTTGATTTAATGGGAAAATCTATTCAACTAACATTTACGCAATTAAAAGAATAAAACGTAATTTCACCAACCTTTCACTGACCTGTAGCTATGTGACTGTGATACGGTGGTCCAGATGTCTTGTGATTTCCCCCCCCCCCCCAATTAATTGACCCCTAACATTTTTTTCCTTTGCTTATTCGTTTCTGTTTTCACACCCCATTGGTATAAAACATATTACGTTTTATGGAATTAAATGGGGGTCACGAGACATCTGGACCACGCTGTAGTATTTTCGTTATAAGTTACGAACCTTTGTCAATCCACTGCTGCATGAATGCCTCTCCATGCTGAGGCTGATTGACTATACTTCGGTAGAGACGTTTGCAAAACGCTTTCTGAATTAAATGTAATAATTAGCTGCTAATCCCCGTACACAAGAAACACGAAGGGACGGTTCATGGTGAACTTTGCCTGAATCACCGAGTCGTCTCTCCTTCACAACGGCTTGCTAAGTGCATGCGCCGAGTACTATCATCTTGATGATAGGACACCATCTTTCCCCAGCCTACACCATTGACATGCTGCACCCACATATCCTCTCAAGGTCATTAAGATCTCTGTATTCCCAGCTCGAGGTTTCGGTCTATGGGTGACCGAGATTTTTCCCGTGTAGCCCCCAGGCTATGGAACGCTTTTCTACAAAGTGTCTGGGATCTCTGAGTATGTGGAAATTTAAACAAATGCGCCTTAAACCCTATTTATACGTTTCCGCTTATTCAACTTTTAGTTAATTTAGTAAATGATTCTTAAAATGTATTTATCGTATTATGTTTATGCTGAGTGTCTGCTGCTGCTGCTGTGTCCTGTACAGAGCTTTGAGATCCTTGATGACAAGTGCTATATAAATGTCATTATTATTACACTGTATAACAAATTTTTGTTGTTCCTGGGTAGTATGTGTTATTTACTAATTGCTTATGCCTCAAAAGTACAGAAAATGGCTATTATTTTACACAAACTTTGCTTTTGTGACCAGGACAGTGATATTTTGAAATGTACCTATTTATCAGAACATGCCAGATAGATTCAGTGCTAAGTAAACTTGGAGTAACTTCTAGAACATTATATAACTTTCCAGTAACATAAATGGTAGTATAAATACAGGGACTTTAAGCCCACCAGTTCAGTTTAGTTCCAGCTGCCTAACTGGATACATATCTGCATTTTTTGAGATGGCATTAAGAGGCTGCAAGCATCCGGCAGATGCATTTTGCTATGTCTGCGGCCAATTTATCAAGACGAGAACGAAAAAGTACTCTGTGGCAGCATCTGTTAATAGGTGTGAGGCCTACAAGGCATATTTCGGCATGCCTGTCAGGGATGAAGACAAACCCTGGGCACCTCATTTGACCTGCGAGCAATGCAAAAAAAACTCTGGAAGGTAAGATGTACAATTGTTGCTCGGAATTTGATGTTATAAAATTATATTTAAATTTTATGAATTGTAAAAGTTTTTCATTTTAAAATGTTTTACAATTGTCAATGTTATTGAAAAAATATATAATATATGAAAAATGTTGCGAGAATCTCTTACGCATTAGTCATGGGTGAAATAACTGTATTTTTGTAGGATGGTACCGAGGGGAAAAGAGAGCCATGAAGCTTGCTATCCCAAGAATTTGGCGAGAACTCACTGACCACTCAAGCAACTGCTACTTGTGCATGGTTGACCCTTCCAAACGTCGGACTGGCAAGAATGCACCTGCTATCACGTATCCGGACCTTCCTTCGTCCATCGACCCGGTGCCACACTGCTATGAGCTCCCGTACCCACTCCTCCAGAGAGAGAGCAGCCGTCTTTAGAAGAGAGCTGCAAGTCAGAGAGCGAGGAAGACGTTGTAGATCCAGATGTCAATTTCAGAGGTGGAGCTGAGGAGAGAAACCCATACTACCCCAACCCAAAAGATCTCAACGACTTGATCAGAGATCTTGGTCTCACCAAGTCCAATGCTAAGCTTTTGACATCTAGGCAGTAAAACTTGTTGGATAAAAGTGTGCAAGTCGCAGATCAGAGGAACCGTCACCAACCTTTTTGTAGCTTCTTCACCCGTCAAGATGGGCTCTGCTTCTGCCACAATGTGACCAGTCTGTTCGAGGCAATCGGAATCGCCTGTAATCAGAATGAGTGGCGCCTCTTCATTAACAGCTCATTCAGGAGCCTTAAAGCCGTGCTGCTCCATAATGGTAACACGTACCTGTCTCTTCCCCTGGCTCACTCGGTGCACCTCAAAGAGGATTACAACAGCATCAAGACCTTGCTGGACTCCTTGAAGTATGATGAGTACGGCTGGGAGGTCATCGGAGACTTCAAAATGGTGGCATTCCTGATGGGTCTCCAAGGCGGTTTTACCAAGTTTCCCTGCTATCTTTGCCTTTGGGACAGCAGGGACACCAAGGCGCACTACCACAGGCATGGCTGGCTACAGCGGACCGAGTTCACAGTGGGGAGGAACAATGTCAAGTGGGAGCCACTGGTGGATCCCCGGAAGGTGCTGATGCCACCACTGCACGTCAAATTGGGACTTATGAATAAATTTGTCAGAGCTGTAGATAAGGAGTCGGCAGTCTTCAAGTACCTTCAAGACTTCTCCCCTAAACTGTCTGAGGCAAAGATCAAAGCCGGTGTCTTCATCAGACCACAGATAAAGAAGATCCTGGAGTGCAATTAATTATCCAAGAAGCTCACTAGTAAGGAGAAAGCAGCTTGGAATAGCTTTGTCACAGAGGTTCGTGGCTTCCTGGGCAATCACAAGGTCGAGCTATTTAGAGCTGGTTGAGACTCTGATGTTCATCTTGATAACTTCAAGGAGAACATCGGAGCATACTCGGAGGAGCAAGGTGAGCGCTTCCACCAGGATATACTGGACTACCAAGGACAGTATAACGAGAACATGATGGGAGACTACATTTGGGGGCTGATTCGTGAAAGTGATTTCCAGTATAATTGTAAATCTCGAAAAACTACTCATTTCTAAATCTTTTGTAGTCATTTTTGTATTACTTTTGGTATAAATACATGTTAATTTTGATTAATGTTTTTTTTCTGACTTTATGTAAACGAAAAGACACATATTCGCCCGTTTTCTCATTGAAAATATGTAAATTTCAAAATATCACTGTAATAAAAGCCATTTTCTATACTTTTTAGGCATAAGCAATTACGAAATAACACTTACTACCCAGGAACAAAAATCGTGTTACATAGTGTTATCTGGAGAAGTATCAGTCTAGCGGTCGCCAAGACACACCACTGGGGGCGGAACAGTAGAACAACCTTGGGCGTGTGCATAACTTACACGTTACATCATTACATCAGGGATGGGGGAGGGGATCATCGGGACCACCGGCTGCAGTTCACCTGAGTGGGGGAAGTGGGAGGAGGGGTGGAAGGTGATTGGCCAGGAGGGTTCAAGCGAAAAGGTAGGAAAGGGTGGAAGGGAAGAGCGGCAGATTGGCCCATCTGCCAGGCGACTCTCTACTTGTACGTTGGTCTGTTCAGGGTGCCACGTTGGCAAGATGTTAACTACCTCACCTGGTATACAGGAGGTCGTGATTTCGATCCCGACCCTCATAACTGTATATTTTGAGTCTGCGTCTCTCTCTCCCCGTGGTCGCGGGGATTTTTCTCCGGGTGCTCCGATTTTTCCCTCCACATTTAGAATCAACACCACGCGTTTAGAGTATTTGACTACTATATATTTCTACAAGATAAGCCACTTCGTTGGGCTATCATTTGTGACCAGGTCGTTTCTGAAAAAGAGCTATAGATATCAGTGAGCCTTACCTGGTAAACAACCACGTTTCTGGAACGCATCTCTACGTCACCACGCTGGTCAGTGTGGGTTGGTGAAGGGAGGGTGTCCAGGACTGGTTCAGATCTAATTTGCCACTGCACCGATGTTAGCCATGTCTGGGAATCAAACTTCGGTCACCTGGTACATAGCGCAGTGCATGAACCGCTGTACCACCACTCCCGCCCACGCCACAGTCCTGTATAATCATTTAACATTAAATTTTTAAATTATCTTCAATATAAAATGCAATGAGGTGTACAATTCGAACACTCCTACCCATATATAGCCATTCGTGCCTGTCCAGCTAAAAGACCATTATATCGCAATGGGCTCTCACCGAAAAGAATGAACGGCATTGATTTGTAACACATTCCTTGGCTTTGTGTGGAAATGGTCATCACAGTCATCCTTTCCCGAGGAGCTGTGAACTCCGCTCTCCTGCAATTCACTACACGGCATTGCAGCACTCGTAAAGTGGAATTTAGAAAATGTGTTGTATGGCAGTTCAATACCCGTATATGAACATTGCAATGTAATTTATTTATTTTTTATGCAAAAAGCATCCAGCGTTGATTATTTTGTATGGGCAATGGAGAGCGACTATTCGGTTAAAAGTGATTTACCCATTAAATTGCTTTGTCTGAGAGCTGATACATTGTAGATGTACTACCTTCACATGTATGTTTGGAGCACAGCGCAAAGTTACGTGGTCCATGGTTTGGTGTTGGCAGCCGCAGTCGCACACAGCAGAGAGTCTTTAATTTCCTTCTGTGTTCTAGGTATCCGCATCTTCCATGGTTTGTGCGGATCTAGTTAAGCACTGCCCATTGTTCCATGAAAGATGAAAGCTGCGTAGTGCGATGGTGGGCTCACTGATGAGCTGTGTGTGGAGGAAGCCAGGCAGTGTGGTGGTCGACTCGCTGATGAGCTGCGTGTAGTGGGAGCTGGGCAGTGCGATGGTGGGCTCACTGATGAGCTGTGTGTGGAGGAAGCTGGGCAGTGCGGTGGTGGGCTCACTAATGAGCTGTGTGTAGAAGAAGCTGGACAGGATGGTGGTGGGCTCACTGATGAGCTGTATGTTGTGGTAGCCAGGCATTGTGGTGGTGGGCTTCCGGATCAGCGTTTGTTGAGCGAGTTGCTTGAAATCATTCAATAGTCCTTGCCGTATCTTTGCTGAAATTTGTATCACGCAGAGTTTGTGCTGTGTGTTTCCAAATCGGTTGAGTTCAGCTGAAATCCCAGCAATATGTTGTTCAGTTTGCCGTTGATTGGCAGATTTGGGTCTACTTCTGATCGGTGAAGTTCATGGAGTGTTGCAGCATCGTGGTGAATATCTGGTGGTGTGGTATTTGACATCACAGGAAGCTAAGTCACTTGCGTGGGTGTAAGAGTTCCTGCGAGAATCCGCTTTTTGCGATGGTCATTTGGGTATTGACGAGTCCACAGTGGCGGCTTTGTGTCCAAATTGGGGGGTGAGGGGGGACACGTGGTCCTCTGCTGGTAAGTATGCCAGGGCAATGGTCGACATCCGAAGCTCCGAGGCATCTGCCCCCAGCTCGTACCGGCAAAATGTAAATGAAGATCACCCTTATCTTAGTTTTACTGGCAGCCTCTTGTAGGTGTTAAGAGTCTGACTGCGGTCAAGTGTTACACCGAGGTGGTGAGATGTTAACTACCTCGCCTGGTATGTAGGAGGTCGTGGGTTCCATCCCGACCCGAGTTTGCGTGTTCTCTCCGTGGTCGTGTGGATTTTTCTCCGGGTCCTCCGGTTTTTGCCTCCACATTTAGAAACATGTCTTTAGAGTATTTGGCTGCTATACATTTCCACGTGATAAGCCACTTCGTCGAGCTATCATTTGCGGCCAGATCACTCCTGAAAATGAACTACATATCTCAGTGGACCTTAACCTGGTAAAATAAAAATAGTAAATAAAAAATAAGTCAAATAGGTTGCCCTTGGGATCAGGCCTATGGTCATGTCACACTATTTCTCAAAAGAAGGTCACATCGACTGGCGTCGGTGCTATTACCACTGTCACGTTACATGAGATTTACTTGGGTCGCCACTTCAGAAGTACTCTGCCATGACAATGAGGTCAGAGTGCGAGATGGCAGCCTTCTAGCGGCCCATTCTGTTATGTGGAAAACCACAACGAATGTCATAAAAGCGGCGATCAAACGCCAGTTATCAACCTCCTGGTCCGAAGAACAACTTTTGAAGCCATCAAAGTGTTTATTCAGGACAAGCTTGGACAGAGCAGCCGTTTATGGAACAAGTGAGACGTTTGAACTACAGCGAAAAGATTGCAGTTATAAGTTTGACAATTGTTATCTTAACTTATTTGAATGAATATAGCGCCTTAAGCCTTAACCAAGGCGCTGAACAAAGGATTAGCAATTTGTACAACAGAAGTGTGAATGGATGAGATGAGTTGATGAGAAGGATGGTAGTACATGAATATGATGATGCGTGAAATAAACTATGATGAAAGTGACAATGAGTGGTTGATGATGAGTGAGTGATGAATGGGTAGATAAATTGGACAGAGGGATGGTGTTCAAGATGGCGAAGTGTGGGGGTAGATGAG